ATTTGCACACTACAGTACCAGCTCTGTTGACGGACGACGGGGTAGCGGTTGTCGATCTCCGCTCCTATCTTGCGAAGACTGACCGCGAGTACGTCACCCAAAGGTACGCCGAAACCGACGCACCTTTGCTCTATATCCGCATTCAAATCGGAAAGGCAACCTGTAGTGCCTTGATTGATTGCGGAGCGTCTCGCAACTTTATGAGCCAAGCCTTTATGGCCCGCGCAGGTCTTGGCCCGTGCGTTCGAAGGAAGATGCAACCTACGCAAGTTACACTCGCGGACAGCCGCACGCAAAAGTCAATTGGCCGATGCGTTGACGGCGTTCCGGTCTACTTTGCGCCACTTGCGTGCGAGCCGGTGTCTTTTGACATCCTCGACACCAAGTTCGACATGATTCTAGGCATGTCTTGGTTGCGTAGCGCCGATCATCCGGTGAACTTCCATGACCGAACCGTTCACATCCGTGATCGGAACTGAGTGTGTATCCCATGTACGGTCGCAACCCCTCACACTTCGATTGCTTGTCACGTGGTTTCCGTTGCGAGAATTCGCGATGCCATTGCTCGGAATGACGTCGAGGAGATGGGCCTTGTATTCTTGCATGCTCTCCCCTCGCCGGACGGACCAGCCGCGTCACCGCCGGACCCATGCATTTCTCACCTCTTGGACGAGTATAGAGACGTCTTCGAGGCTCCCACCGGAATGGTTCCGGATCGGCCCATACGTCACGGGATCACTCTCGAGGCTGGCGCCGTCCCTCCGCGTGGATGCATCTACCACATGAGCGAAGAGGAACTCCAGGTGCTTCGCGCACAACTCGATGATCTTCTCGACAAGTCTGGATTCGCCCTAGTTGCTCGCCATACGGTGCACCTGTTCTCTTCGTCCGGAAGAAGAACAAAGACCTACGGTTATGCATCGACTATTGGAAACTTAACGCACAAACCGTAAAGAACGCCGGCCCTCTCCCTCGGATTGATGATCTCCTTGAGAGGTTAGGCGGCGCGAAGTACTTCTCGAAGTTGGACTTGAAGTCAGGTTACCACCAGATTGAAATCCAGCGTCAAGATCGGTACAAGACCGCGTTCAAGACGCGGTACGGGCATTTTGAGTGGGTTGTCATGCCCTTTGGCCTCACCAATGCCCCCGCAACTTTTCAAGCAGCAATGACGACTGAGTTTCGCGACTTGCTCGATCGCAGCGTCCTCATCTACCTTGATGACATCTTGGTTTATAGTAGGACGTTGGACGAGCACATCGTACACCTTCGCGTTGTTCTGAATCGTTTGCGACTAGCCAAGTACAAAGCGAATCTCGACAAGTGCGAATTCCCCAAGCAAGAGCTTGAGTACTTGGGTCATTTTGTCACGCTGAAAGGCATTCGTCCCTTAGCGGACAAGATCCAAGCCATCGTGGATTGGCCGGAATCCCGTTGCACGACGGATGTACGCTCTTTCATGGGTTTGGCTGGATATTATCAGCGATTCATCGAGTCATACTCGAAAGTGGCCGCTCCTTTGTCAAGACTTCAGTCCCCGAAGGTGCCCTTCGAGTTCGACGACGCAGCCCGTGGCGCGTTCACTACGTTGAAGGCAGCGATGCAAGCCGCACCTGCCCTCCGTATATACGACCCCACCCTACCCACCCAAGTGACTACGGACGCTTCGGGATACGGTATTGGTGCGGTGTTGGAACAGTGTCACGAGGACGGTTGGCATCCGGTTGATTATTTCTCCCGAAAGGTGCCTCTCGTCAACACTCTCGACGACGCTAGGAAGAAAGAGCTACTCGCGTTTGTCACCGTTCTCAAACGGTGGCGCCACTTTCTTCTCGGCCGTCGGCGTTTCAAATGGAATACGGACAACAATCCGTTCACCTTTTATAAAACGCAGGACACGGTCACTAGCACGATCAGTCGATGGATGTATTACATCGACCAGTTCGATTTTGACCCATGCCACATTCCTGGTCCCGCCAATCGAGCTGCGGACGCCCTCTCACGACGGCCCGACTTTTGTGCCATGGTGACCACGGCATTCGACCTCGATGACGATCGGCAGCCGCATTTCGTCAAAGGCTACAAGTCTGATCCGACTTACTCTCAGCTTTACGAGGAGCTTTCATCGGATCACCCGCCGGCTAGCCACTATCGGATTTCCGACGGGTTCCTTCTCCTTCACACGAGAGGAAAGGACTTGTTAGTTGTGCCCCAAGATCGCATCTTACGGACTCGTCTGATCGGCGAATTCCACGACGCACGACTTTCGGCACACCTTGGCGTGAACCGCACACTAGCACGCCTCCGCCAACGTTTTCACTGGCCCGACGTCCTTCATGACGTCACAAGGTAAATTGAGTCATGTGCAGTTTGCCACCGTAACAAGGGTCGATCTCGAGTCCCCTTCGGCGAACTGAAACCGTTGCCGATTCCTCGGGCACCACGCCTCTCCATTGCTATGGACGTGACAGGCCCGTTTCCCCTCGATCGCCACGGCCATGACGGTATTCTCACGGTCGTTGACTGTTTGAGCAAGTATGCTCGCTTCCTTCCTTGCAAGTATCATGTTGCAGCGCCTGAGCTCGCACGACTCTTGCACACCGGTTGGATTACCAACCAAGGTGTTCCGGAAGACGTAGTGAGCGACCGAGATACTCATTTCATGTCAGCCTTTTGGACTTCCCTCATGGGTGAGTCCGGTACGACAATGAAACCGAGCTCGGCTCGGCACCCGCAGACGGATGGTCAGACGGAACGAGCGCACCAGACCGCTCAGATGATATTACGTACGCTCATCCGGCCCGACCAGAAAGATTGGGTTGACCGGCTTCCCGACATCGAGTTCGCCTATAACACTTCGGTGCACCCGACGATCTGCGTCACACCATTCGAGTTACATCATTGTGGAGAGAAAGCACGGATCTTCGCTGATCTCCTTTTGCCACAGGCTGCCGACATAGACGTCCCTTGCTCTCCCGCTTCCGTCCGGAAGTACCGAGACTTGCTGATCAAAGCCCGCACAAATATGCAAAAGGTTCAGATCCGCATGCAGCAGCAGGCTAACCGACGTCGACTTCCATGTCCTTTCCGCGAGGGAGACCTTGTTTGGGTCCTCTCCGAGGAATTTGCGCTCGAGCAGGACGTTTCGCGCAAACTCCTTCCGAAATGGTTCGGACCATGGGAAGTCACTTCTGTCGTTGGAGACGATCCCGCAGGTCCTTCCTTCGTGATCAACATTCCACCGCACCTGACAGTGCATCGGGTCTTCCACGCATCGAAGCTCGCCATCTACACACCACCTTCAGATGACRAGTTYCCCSGACGTCGATCAYAGGATCCGCCCTCCATGGACGGACATCAGGAAGTGGACCGAGTCATCACGCACCGCAAGTATGGCAACAAGCCAATGCAGTACAAAGTCACATTCAAGCAATGTGCGCCTGACGACACTCGGTGGATCTCCTGTACAGATTTGCACACTTCTGCACCCCTTATCTTCGCCGACTATGAGAAGCGACGCCTTGCTAAGGACGCAGCTCGTCCCACCCGACCCATCCCGGTATC